CCACAAGAAGCAAAGGAAATTAAACAGAAAGACACTGAGATTAGACTGAAAGACAGAGATGCCTGGAAGATTCTTCTTTGAGCAGTAGAATTTAAGTGACCTTTTTCTCCACAGATGCAATCTCTTGCTTGATTCTATAATGTTGTAAATACTATGTATTAATTTTCAATTTTTAAATCATCTGTATAAAAAGCAAAATGACAGTAATTATAGTAGTAGAATAGGAGGCTGGAGTTACAAAATAGAGTAAGATTAAGGTAATAAAATAACCATTGGAAGGAGATTAGGAAGTGAAAAGTAAAGAAGAAAAAGAATAGGGGCAGGAGTGGCTCAGTCACTGAAGCACCTGATTCTCAATTTTCCCTCAGGTCATGATCTCATGGTTCATGAGTTCAAGCCCCATGTCAGTCAGGCCTCTTTCTCTCTCTAAATAAAAACTTTTAAAAAGTAAAAAGAGTAAAGTACACTTATTTCTGTTTTACTTAAGAGTCAGTATTTTCTATGTGAAGTCAATAAATCCAGTCATATTTAAATATGACTTGTTTAAAGGCAACCAAATAAAAAAATACAATTATAACTTATAAAATATAGGAACCAAATGAAACTGAAAAGTAGGGTCGGTTATTACATTTCTCTTCCTTCTCTGGTAAAACTCAATAATGTGTGAAACAGATTAAGTCAAGAATAGAGCTACCACTGTATTATATAAAGTTATAATAACCATCAGAAGAACCAAAAGCAAATGGATACCAGGGATTGCATCTGAGCAATGGCAGGGTGGGAAGTGGTAGTGGAGGCAGAAGGTCTTTATCGGTTATTTTGTGTACATTTTTACCCATGATTGATTAATCATGTCTAATGATTCATCTGTAAATTTACGAATGAACAACTTGTTAAAATTTCTGTGGTTTAAGGACCCCAGGGTAACTCAGTCGGTTAGGCATCCAACTTCAGTTCAGGTCATGATTTCATGGTTCGTGGGTTCGAGTCCCACATCAGGTTTTGTGCTGACAGCTCAGAAACTAGATCCTGAGGCTGCTTAGGATTCTGTGCCTCCTCCTCTCTCTGTCCCTCCCCCACTTGCACACTTTCTCTCTCTCCCTCTCTCAAAAAAGAAAAAAACATTAAAAAAATTTTTTTCTAATTTTGTAAAAAAATTCTGTGGTTTAGTCAGTGATTTTTATTTCCTGACATTCCAAAAAAGAACTTAAGGAGGCTCAGTTCCATGAGTTCTGGGTTTTATATTTATTAAAAGATTTTTTCTTTCGGGGCACCTGGGTGGTTCAGTTGGTTGAGTGTCCAACCCTTGGTTTTGGCTCAGGTTATGATCTCGCAGCTTTGTGGGTTGAGCTCTGTACTGGCAGCAAAGAGCCTGCTTCGGATTCTCTCTCTCCGTCTCTGTGCCCCTCCCCGACTCACACTGTCTCTGTCTCTCTCAAAATACATAAATAAACTTAAAAAAAAAAAAAAGGCTTTTTTCTTTCATAAGCCAAGCATTTTCAATTTGCTTTTTTCCAAGACATGCTTTGGATATCTTGAGTGTATAAGACGTCCAAGGGGAAAAAATGTCCTTAAAACAAATACCTGGTTATTATATGGCAGCTTGAAGCACATTAATGATTTAGGGGCTGCCACCCTCAGTGTTCTACCCTACTCCAGCATTCCTGAATCTGGCAGAAGGCAGACCAACCCAGGCCGGTGCGCACCTAAGCCTTCAAATGCAGGATATGTCAACATTCTTTATTATTCTGTACTATTCCCAATATCATCCTATTCTAAAATGTGCCCTTTTCAAGATGAGATCCTTAAGAATGTTCTCTTCAGCTTACACTGTCAAAGTCATTCTTTGATTCCTCCTACAAAATTTTACAGAATAATATTAGAGCCTTCCAACCGCGGGCGCCGCATCCCTGAGCTGTGTGTCATTTGCAAACAGTGCACGTATTGAGAACTCTTAAATGCATGAAGGGTGCTACTTGTGTTAAGGTCTCCGGAATGACTCATGTGTAATAGAACTGCCGCAGCAACAGCTCTTGGTAGGTAGCAGTCTTTCTCACAACAGGAGGAAACAAAGCAAGATGATGTCATCAAGGATCAAGTCCAGAAGTGCACTACTGAATGCCTGGGCTTTGGTTTCCTGTCTGTTGATGTGGCTTGTAACAAAGAAAAGGGGTCACAGAAGAAGAGTATTTGTTGCTGTAAGAATGAACCATCATAGGGGTGCCTGAGTGGCTCAGTCAGTTGAGCGTCTGACTCTTGGTTTCGGCTCAGGTCATGATCTCACAGTTCATGAGTTCGAGCCCTGCATCCAGCTCTGTGCTGACAGTGCGGAGCCTGCTTAGGATTCTGTCTCCCTCTGCCTCTTCCTCGCGCGTGCTCTCTCTCACTCAAAACTGAATAAATAAACATTCAAAAAATGAGCCATCATATGTCTTAAGAGTTAGATCTATTTCATTATAACTTTAAGACTGTTGACAGTGGCCTGGTCAGCTCATAGACGGGGCTCTGTCAGCAGCTTGTCCCCAGCTCCTCATTAGATACAGGCCTTTGTAAAATGCTGTCTCCTTGCCTGGAACACTACCATTCTCCTCACCCTCACCCCCACTCCCACAATAAACTCACATACACAATCACCTACTTGTCACCTAACCAGTCCAACTCATCCTTCCCAGATGTCATTTCTCCCACTAAGTCTTGTTGAATCTCCCAAGTCCAAGCTACATTCCCACACTATGTAGGTCTCAAGGTACCATGTCACTTCCTTAGTCACTTCCTCATGCCACCTATCATGGTGCATGATTCTAATCACCTATCATGGTTCTAATTATCTGCTTCTCATCCATATCTGCCTCTGTACTGTAAGCTATCGAAAGGAATTGTCCTGTTCATTTTTGGATCCCTAGGCTTCTCACAGTGCCTGGGATAGAATAAGCACCATATAATAATATGTAATACATAGTAACACTTAATAGATAAGAGGCGTTGAATGGGTGCATGAATAACTTACAGGTTCGGGACACCATTGTGGGCATTGCTGAAGGCTAAATCTGACTTTCAGAGGTGGTCTGACCAAACTTGCACAGTGAGAAAGAAATCCAGATGACAATTTAGTAATTTACAGTAAGAATTATGGCTACTGTTGTGGCTGGTTGCAAAATTTTTCCAGCCTACAGAGACTTTGGACTAGAAAAGTCTAGAAAAGAGGACACATTCTAATCGGGAAGTTGCAAAAGCACGAAGGTGAGATGAAATGAGTGAGTTGGATATATATACTTTTTCCATAATGATGTATCCACTACCAGAATAAGAGAGAGGCATTCCTTGAGCCAAAGAAGATCACTCCAGAAAATGTGTTTGGGTGGACAGAGCCAGCCTTAGCCGTCTTGAATCTCCTTTTTGATTGACACATTTGTCCTTTGATTTTATTAAATCAGTCAATGTCTTGTAGGTCTAGGAGCCATTTTGATCTTTTCGACTTATTTCACATATATGCTTAGTTTACATCTTCTCTATTCACATCATATATCTGCTCTATTGGTTATTATAAACTCAGAGGTCAATTTATTTCCGGGTTCTTCTACACTATGGTATCATCAGCATTTGAGTTTATCAAGCAATCAGTTTCCATTTTAAAAAATGTCTGATAAGCACCTAATATATGCCTAATCTTATGCTAGACATTATATATAATGGTGATTAAATGCATGGGCTGTGGGTCAAAGAGTTTGGATTTCACTTCTATGAAATAAACACGTGACCCTCAGCAAGTTATTTGAACCCTCGATTTCCTCATCTGTTACATGGAGGTGATAACATTTATGTAAAGGGTTTTATGAAAGTCAGGTAAAGTATAATCTCTGAAGTGGTTAGAGCACAAACTGTCAATAAATGTTATCTAAATTATAGGATGATATTTACAACTTAAAGGTACTCTTTCCAGTCAGAGTCACCTCTTACTATAAAGGAAAGGCAAACCGTAATTAATAGTTGCAGAATTAATAATAAATTATGAGGGTTGTTTTAAGTGTAGGAAGCACTTCATGGATTTCTGTTCTTATCTCAGGTACTGTGTACAATAATAAATAATATTATTTACTGAGAACATCCAGCATCTATAAAATTGTGTTAGGAACGAATGGTGAAGAACAGAAAGAGAACACACCCCTTCTCTTATTCTTGCACAGTATCCATGTTGGATATAGTTGGTTCTCATTCTAGGTAGATTTTCAAGTATTTTGTTTCACTTAACTTTGGCAATCAAACTAATGACTACACAGTTCTCTTATGTGAAAAACAAATCATTCAGAACGATGTTAAGTTCATTCAAATGTTATCTTGGCAACTGTGAAACTGGATTTTCTTGAGTTGTTTACTAAGCACTTTCATTCATTTCATTTTTCTAATACTAATGGAGCCCCTAACTTACACCAAGCCCAGTTATAGGTGAGAAAGAAAAAAGCATCCTCTGACATCCAGGAGCTAGGACTATCACCTTGGCCTTGACGTTTTCTTGTTGAACATAAACAATTTCATAGAACATCAACATCAAACAAGGCTACTCTGAGGCCATGATGGATTATGGTGAAAGCAAGACCATTCCATCATTATGTTTGAGCACAGACAAAACATAAACATGGCCTAAGCCACAACACTCCCTAAACACCCTCCTCTCTTGACTCCTATGGGTGATGGCTGATTCTTTAACAATTAAAGCTTTAGTCTCTCTACTTCTATCAGAAATCTATTAAGACACCTAATCATGAAATTATGTTCACTTTCTCACAGTAGCCAATCCGGAGCAAAATGTCATTCCTTCAACCTTCCTCCAAATTACCTAACACAAGCCCAGTCCTGTATGCTCTTTCTAACACTTACTCTACACTATCTCTTACTGAAAAATACACATTCTTCTTCACTGTAACTTGTTCCACCGTGTCCCTGGTGGTCTTTGGCTGGAGGCCATTGACACAAAAAGGCGTATCATAATAAATACAAAAGCGTAATGATTAAGAAATCATTTAATATTGGGCTCAACTGCATAGATCAGAAAGCCTAAAATAAACGGCTTATAAAAGAAGTCCAAAGGTGAAGAGTACAGGGCTGATGTGGTAGCTCCACATCAAGGATTTAGACTCTTTCTTTCTTTCTCTTCCATCATTCTAGCACACACCTTCCAGATTCAGGGTCGGTTCATGGTCGGTCCACCAGTACGACTCCTGGAGATGCAGCCAAGTGTCAATAGTTTAGGCAACTGGAAAGGAGTAAAGACAGAGGGAGGAGAGGAGTGGCCCACATTTTCATCAGCTCCCTTCGAGAAGCCCTCTAGGAAATTCTACACATCACTCCTGCTCAAAGCTCATCAGACCGCATTGGCAGAACTCGGTCACGTGGCCAGCATTATCTTCAGGGAAACGTGGGAAATGTTATGTGTTGGCTAGACACAATGCCAGTCTGAATACCAGGGTTTTACAAAGGGAGAAGATGAGAACCAATAATGAGTAGGGTTTATGACAAAATGATTGACATAATAATTTGGATTAAAAAAAAATAACTCATTATTTTACTTCAGTGTCAGTTGGGTTAGTTTATGGTGAAAAAGAAATTTCACTTCCAAGCAATGTATTTACAGCAGAAATGGCCTGATTTCTAAAGGAAGTTGTGGTCTGATGATATTGCAGGGTAGGAAATTGTCAAACAGCTAAAAAAAAAAAAAAAGAAAGAAAGAAAGAAAAGAAAAGCAAGGAAAGAATTATTCCACATAGACTTTAGATGTGTAAAAACAAGAAATGCCCTGGAAATGTCATATTCCTGGAATCTGCAGTGTAAGCTATTTGAAACAAGACTTTAAAATAACAGAGTTCATTCCTGTTGCTTCATTGGTCTAAAATTTTTGAATTCAGGGCGTCTTGGGTGGCTCAGTGGGTTGAGTGCTGACTTAGGTTCAGGTCATGATCTCGTGGTTCGTGAGTTTGAGCCCCACATAAGGTTCTGTGCTGACAGCTCAGAACCTGGAGCCTGCTTTGGATTCTGTGTCTCCCTCTCTCTCTGCCCTGCCCCTGCTCATGCTCTGTCTCTCTTTCCAAAAATATAATTAAAAACATTTAAAAAGTTAAAAAATAGAAGAAATACCCTGGTCTTTGTACACTTATTAGAACTCCAGGTAAACAACTATCTTTTCAACCAAAGATAAACATTCTTAGTACTTCATATACTCTCAGAATGTTTCTATGCATGTTTATCTGCATAGACACATTTTAAATAATATATACATAAATATCTGTAAATACATTTTTATGAGTTTCACACTGTACACACTGTTTTGTTTTGTTAATGTTTTACATAATAGGTATCACATATTTATTTATTTATTTAAATTTTTAAATGTTTATTATTTTTGACAGAGACAGAGAGCAATTGGGGGAGGGGCAGAGAGAGAGGGAGAAACAGAATCTGAAGCAGGTTCCAGGTTCTGAGCTGTCAGCACAAAGCTCGACACAGGGTTCAAAACCAAGAACCATGAGATCATGACCTGAGCCCAAGTCAGACACCTAACTGACTGAGCCACCCAGGCACCCCTCACATACTTGTAAATGTTAATAACATATGTCTATAAAACTTTCCTTTCTTTCCTTGTTTTATTCTTAAAAATAATGGATTCTTTAAAAATGTAGACTGTTCTCTTCCCTTGTGTGTTTGTGTGTGTGTGTGTGTGTGAGACACTTCAAAATCTATGAATGTGGACATAAAGTTAGACTTTTAGGTTTTTCCAGGAAAATACCAGTAAAGTAATCATTTTGTGCAGACTGAAATATCGGGAAGGAAAATAAAAATGAAGCATATTTCATAAATTAGTATAGATGTATCCTCAAATATCCAAATTGAGCAAATGTAGAAACACAATATTTAACACAGAATTTGTAAAAGTTCTTATATCCTTAGCTATCTGACAGTTGCAATAACTTTTAAAAGTGTAAGCTGCATGACTTTTTCCAAAGACATAATTTTACACAAGAAATACCTTCAAAGTTTCTTTTTTTTTTTCCTATTTAAATACATGTAAGAATTTTAGTAAATACCATTTTTGAGATAGGACTGTTTGACCAAATTCATATTTCTTTTAAAAAATCCTTTAATTTTTTTTTTTCTGTCATGTAAGGAGCACACCCTCATCATTATATCACGATTAGCTCAGGCCAGTTGTATACTGTATTTCTAGGGAGACTGGAGGAGCATCTGACTTTGGCCCAGGTCATGACCTTGTAGTCCCTGAGTTCAAGCCTCATGTCAGACTCTGTGCTGACAGCTCAGAGCCTGGAGCCTGGAGCCTGCTTTGGATTCTGTGTCTCCCTCTCTGCTCCTCTCTCTCTCTCTCTCTCTCTCTTTCTCAAAAGTAAATAAACATTAAAAGAAGTTTTTTTTTTTTTTTTAAGGCCAGGTATTTCCTTATACCTAAGGAAGCTAAGTAGGTACTTCCTACTACAAGGTAGTGCTTGAGAATTGTGAAATTATTTAGCAATTTGATATTAAAACTATGTTCTTAGAATATTTGCTATCTCGAGATGTTAGCAAAACTAATGACTTTTGGAATTCCTATGGAAGGAAAGAAAGCTAGGAGTGAAATCACATCTTCTGCACACCGGACAAAATAATTTGGGAGTACATAAATCCAGGTTTAAGGCAAAAATATTGATTCCAGGAAGACTACTAAGGGACACACTTGATGTTTACAAGATTTATAACTCTATTGTGAATTCCTCTTTTTCTATGAGTCTACATTTGTCCATATTTTTCTATATGAACTTACGATTTTTTTTAAAATTATGGTCATGAAATTTCTGCACACACACTCAGAAAGTTCTGGAAGCATGGCATCCAAAAGCTAGTTTCTTTGTGGCCTAACCTATCCTTGCATAGGACAGACTGTACAGAAGTGGTTTATTCAACAATAAATAAATAAAGTCATTTATTCACTTACAAAATTTAAAAACACCTATTCTCATTGAACTTGAAACAAAAGCTTATTGTGTTCATGGGGAAATACAACAAAAATCTATACATAAGATAGACTAGCTTTGCTAAAACTGTATGGACATTTAAAAAGACTATCTAAATTCATAACAAGATTACATCAACTATAGGTTAATGATAATAGGATCACATAATTTTTAGAGGTATGAAAATGTAGTCAATTAAAAAAATTTTTTAAATGTTTATATATTTTTGATAGAGAGAGAGACAGACAGAGAGTGAGGAAGGGGAGGGGCGGAGAGGGAATCTGAAGCAGGCTCCTGGCTCTGAGCTGTCAGCACAGAGCTCGATGCATAGCTTAAACCCATGAACCGCAAGATCATGACCTGAGCTGAAGTCAGACACTTAACCGACTGAGCCACCCAGGTGCCCTTATTATTGACAATTTTTAAGTAATTATAAGGGAAATAGGAGCACTCAGAAACTAGGAAAAAGTGGTCATCACATAATTTTGAATGTGTGGTACCTGGAGGGATGAATTGTAAAATAAAATACAAAAAAATTTTTAGTAAGTAGAAACACACTAAGGAGAGATTAAATACAAAGAAAACATTTTCTGAAATAACTAATAAAATCAAGAATATCATTTTTTAATGACTATAATTGTTAGTCCATAAAAATCTTTCATACTTCAACCATCTGACTTCAATATATTAATTGCTGAAATAATAAAATGCCAAATATTAATCTGAAATCCTAAATTCATAAAGCATTGATAGAATATTCAAATTTGACATGTTTTCTAATTCAGTGTATGATAGTTACAGACATTCTGTTTTCTGATCTTATTACATTCAGACCGGAGTTAGTGAGAATCTGCAGTAACTTGGTATAGATATGATTCCATTTATGTGACAAATTGGTTTCTGAAAGCTATATGCAAAGTGAATGTTTTCTTTTTCATAGATTCAGATGCATTTTTATTCCACTAGAGTAGTTTCATATTTAAAGGAATTGTATTTGAATCAGTTTGTAACACGAGTTCCTCAGAGATAAATGTCTTCATTACACTTACATGCTTCCTGTTGAAATTCATTTTTCCATCCTTTACATTTCTGGCAAAATTTCCACGTACATGATTGTGCTATCCCACTAGTTTACACTCTCTCTGAATGTAACTTGACTTTTTTTTTTACTTATGTGTCCCCTACTGGAGTAGTTCTTAATTCTAAGTGCACATCAGAATTTTCTTGAAGGTTCTCTAAAAACAAAAAAAATACCATGCAGGCCTGCACCCCACACCAAACCTACCCAATCAAGAGAGGAGAATGGAGTGTATATTTAGAAAAGGCTCTTGGGTGATTCTGTTTATTTGACTTTTGGTTAAGAGCTGGAGACCTCTGATCAGCAGTGCTGAGAGGGTGTTTGAGAAGTGACAGGTGGAATGAATCCTTTTTTTTTTTAAATAATATTTATTTATTGTTGAGAGACAGAGTGCAGGCAGGGGAGGGGCAGAGAGAGAGGGAGACACAGAATCTGAAGCAGGCTCCAGGCTCTGAGCTAGCTGTCAGCATAGCGCCTTACATGGGGCTCGAACTCACAAACTGTGAGATCATGACCTGAGCTGAAGTAGGACATTCAATGGACTGAGCCACCCAGGCGCCCCTGTAATGAATTCTTGTGCAATGTCCCCAAATCCTCCATACTTTTGAGGCTCCTCCATTCAAGGCATCCATCTGTTCACCATCCCTCATTCTTCTTGTCTATGCTTATCTCTATCTCTCTTTCTTGTTCTTGCCTATCTCTGCTTTCCACAGTTGTTATTATCCCGTAAGCTACTCCTCTCCATTTTATCCTGCCCTGTTTCTTCTAGAGAGAAACTGTGACCTACTTAACTGTAGGGGCTACCTTGAATTTCCTTTTATCATCTGCTTCTACTATCCCAAGTCCTCTAGGTCACATATTTTATTTCCTTTCATCACTACCTAAAATTATTTTATGTATATTTTCCTTGCTTATTATATGTTTCTCCTTAATAGAATGCAAAGTCCTTAAAAACAAGAACATTATGACTTATCCAAAGTTTTATCCCCAGTGCCTGGAAGAGGATCTAGTTCTCAAAATGTATTTGATGAGTAAATGAACTACCTAGAGTGTTCGTTTCTCGTGTGTTTAAATGCAGTTAATTGTATGTTACATTTACCTAGTTCCTACTGTATCAAAATGTCTGCTGCTTTCAGTCCCATCTGCTAATTATTGCTCTGCAAAAGCCATCGTGTTAAGGTTTTAAAGGGCAAGTACTTTTATTTTACTAGTATGCCAAGGTACCCAGCAATCAAATTCATGTAAGGCCTGCTTTGAAGAAACTAGGAATTATATATTCTTTAGCATGGATAAATTCCAAGGTGAAAAGTAGAAGATTATAGACATCTAAATGGAGCTAATGCATTTGTTAATAATACAGTAAATGTTACTTATACATTAGAGAATTTCTTAATTTTAGTTGAGGGTTTCATGGGTTGACTCAGTGAAATGACCATGATATAATACTTACTCAGCCTGAAACTCAGATCAATTATACGAACAAACACATAATTATTCTTTGGTTCTATAGCACACCTTTTAGCAGAGTCAAAGTGAGTTTGTTTCTTCTCTACATATAAAATATTATCAGGATCTGGATACTAGGCTTCAAAGTGAGTGGCTGGCTGGGAGCCTTGGCCCATAGAGCTGCCCATAGTCTCAAAGTAAGCGTGGGAACCATCAACTGTTCAGTATAATGAAGAGTAGCTACTTGAATTCTACTTGAATTTCTTGAAATTGTTCCTCCTTGTCTCTGCTTAGCGTGCAGAATGTAGAGGATCCGACACTACGCAGGGTAGGTTTCCTTCTCGTGAGTCAATTCCAGCATGCTGTGAGTCACCAGGGGTGCTACATTGTGATGCAATCATTATGACGCCCCATGGTACCCTATGATGGACCATAAAATGTTCAAAATGGTTAGTGTTCATGTGAAGTAGGTACAAAGTTCATGGGCTTGAAAATACTGAAGGAGATTATTTCACTTGCTCTGTGAGTAGTTCCATTTATAAGAGTCACTTGGTTTTTCAATGTGATTAATAGAATGTAACTATCGTAATGCCAAGGCTAATAATAATAGCTGCCATTTGTTGATCCCTCCACAGATGCTAGGTCTTGGATTGCTTGCATATGTATCTTATCTCATTCGATCTGCTTAACAGAAGGTAGGTAGCTTTGTTTTTATTTTCAGATGAGGAACCGGAGTCATTCAAATATTTGATGGTTGAGTATGTGGTGGAATGTGTATATGAATCCCCGGCTGGTGTGAATTTAAAGCTCATACTAATCACTAGCTATCTGCCCCTATAATTCTATGTTACATCCCATTCCAACGGAAATCGTCACCCTCTCCACGTTTCCAGCTGGAAAAAGACTAACCAACTTGCAGTGTGAAGAGCTCACCTTCACTTCTAAGTGAACCGTTTCTGAGGACACATGTGCACAACTCGCCTTTGTCCCACTTAAGAAGAAAGAGTAAGGGAAAGAGAACGATGGGACAAGAACAAAATCGAAGCCTGAGAGAAGAGCAGCGCCGCAGCCTGAACTCTCAACAAAATCACTGCCATCTTTTGAAATCGGTGGGCAAGGCTCTGAATCTGTCTGAATCAGAATCTTTGCATCCAGTGACAAAGATGACCGTGCAGGTCCCTGCTTCACCCTGGGATGGGCAGTGTCAGCTTCCTAGTCTTATTTTCCATTCTTGGGCATACTTTGCCAACAGATATTCTCTCTATTTAAACTTTCTGCTGGGAAGGACATTGTGGAGGGGGTGGGAGGCAAACTAAACCACATCCTTGTCTCCCATGGCACTCCGAATCCTTCTTAGCATCTGACCTAATAGAATTACTTTTCTGGCCCACACCACCCTGAGCTTCTGGAGAGCAGGGAGGGGTGATCAGTTAATCGCTCTCTTTACTGCCCCCGCCCCCCCACACAAAAAATTAAAACAAGTGGATGACACAAAATATACTCTCAACAAATGTTGACTAGGGGAGAAGGCATGAGTCATGATTGTCTATTTCATCCTACTAAACGTATGGTATTATTTAGCCTACTACCTCCACATGCCATTAAAACGTGAGTAGCTTTCAAAAAGTCTCCCAAAATTAGGATAGATGCACTGTGATCCACACTCTGAAAAGGGCTGTTTTACTGGAAGAATCAAGGAAGAGAGACATATCTTCAGGACAGGGAACCAGTTAGAGAGAGAGAACAATGCTTCTATTTTTTTTTCCAAGTCCAGGAAAATCCAGTTCTGGAGTTGTGTCTACATCAAAGTTAGTCGAATTGACCCCCTTCATTTTTTCTTCTTATGGGGATTAACTGCCCTCCCAGATCCTAGCTGGGTCCTCAAAGCTGGTGGTTTTATCCTGGGATTTGCGGTACACAGGCTTGGGTACCTTCTTCATTTAAATGCCAATACTCTCCCAGCAGAGGTTATTCCTTAGGACCAAGTATTGTTCTTCTCAGAAGCTCTCTTTACAAAGATCGGTTTACTCTAAATGCCTTTATCAGAGTGGAGAGAGGTTTTAGAGTCAGAGGAACTTAAATCCATCTGGCTTCTGCCATAACCAGATGTGTCCCATCCTCCTTGTAAAATAGGGAAAAATGATTCTTAACCAGCCAGGGTACTGACCGAGATGGTGCAGGTAATCCTTGAAGCGTGCAGTTCGGCAATAACAGATGGTCAATAAATCCTCATTTTGACAAGGCCCTTGGGACACAGACAAATGGGAGGGGAGATGATTTGAAATTCTGGCCGCTTTCCAGCAGTGGGTAAGAAAGGGCTCTCGGTTGAGAAAAGGGCCCGTCATAAACAAAGCCGCTCCTCATTAGGGGGCGCTCTCTCTAGTCATTTAATGAACTTCATAGTCCCTGTTAAAAGGCATCGGGCTCTCCTTGTTAAGTCACTCTTAGTCTTAAAGTACTTTTACATCTTAATATGGAGCCTTTCTAATCAATCCCTGCCATTTGTAGTATTAGGATCAACCAAAGTCTATACGGAGGTTTTTCAGGAGGTTGGAAAAAGTGGGACTTCCGACGGTCAGGTATTAGCTCTCCAGCTCGACTCCTACTCTCGAATGTGGAGCGGGCGTGTTCCCAGCTCGCAGCTAGGGTTTAATTTCCATTTCCTCCCCGTGGCTCTCCGCGCTCCAGGGAGGTGGGGCGCCTGCCATCCGCGTGTGGTTTTGGGGTAGTACCCTCTTCTGGTGCGGCCGCCCGCCTCCACCCACGGCCGCGGCCGTGACGTCACGGCCTGGCCTATAAAGCGGCAGGTGCGCGCCGCGCCTCCGGAACGTTCGCACACCTTTGGCCCGCGCCCGTGTCGGAGCCCAGGGATCCCGGCGCGAGCTCTAGGCGCTCTCCCAGCGCCCGAGCCCGGCCGGGCGGCGAGCACAGCCGCGCACTCCCTCCCGTCCCCTCTCTCTCCCGCCACCTCCCGTTCCAGCCGCGACTCCCCGCCGAGTTGCCCCAGAGACCGCGACGCCGCCGCCGCGCCGAGGGACCAATGAGAGCCCCGCTGCTGCCGCCGGCGCCCGTGGTGCTGTCGCTCCTGATCCTGGGCTCAGGTGAGGGCATCCCGGCTCCGAACTGCGGGCCTGCGCTTCTCCCACGGCGGGAGGCGTCCGCGGCAGCTCCCTCCCTAAGGTGATTGCCGAGGAGGAGGAGGAGAAAAGCGGGCAGGTGCCTCTGATGTCCCAGGTCAGGAAGAGGGTGCCAGAGAGTCCCTGAATTTTTGCTTTAGTCCACCTGGAGGAGACTTCAGGGATCCTGTGGTCCAAGTCCTACCTTTTACAGATAAAGAAACCGAGTCCAAAAAGGCGAGGTGATTTCCGCAGATCTTAGAGTAGTTAAATCCTGGACCCAGAGCGCTGCCTCCTGTCTACATTCTCCGTCTCCTCTGTCGAGTGACTGTACCTTCACCTTCCCAGAGGGCCTCACAACGTCCCAGGTAGAAGTAGAAGCACCACCCTGTTGCTGTTTCGGTGAGACCTGAAAGATACAGCAGGGGCCTGAAACTTGAGGCCCTGAATCTAACCTTGTCCCCCCAGTTTCTTCCCTAGGTAGGGACAAGAATAATGAAACAATGACAGTACGAGTCATTACTATCAAAGAGCGTTGATGTTGTGTTACGTTTACATGTGTGACCTTTTTAAAAATGAGACGACGTGTTAAGACAGTTTGATACTCATATCTAGAACCCATCCATGCAAATGGGTCATTCTGGCAAACACTAAGGCGTTGGGCATGTGAAGCGATGGGACTCTATGCATTACCTGTTCCGTAATTAGATGAACTTGTCCATTTGGCAGCATTATTTAGTGTGGAAGGCAATGGAGACTATCTGTGGAAAAGAAAACCTCGATGAAAGAGGCTCTGTAAATTGGAGCAGCTGAGTTTGCTTGTTGGCAAAATGTGAAGATGCTTTCATAAGTGACTCAATCCCAAACAATAGCACATGTGCAATAACAGCTTTGATATCAGAAGATAAACATTTCTCCTGAACGCAGCTGACTGGTGAGAAAAGCACTCACTCTGCTTTACCTTTTCTTTTCTCTCCTTGTTCTTTCTCCCACAGCCCATTATGCTGCCGGTTTGGATGTCAACGACACCACCTCAGGCAAAGGGGAACCATTTTCTGGGGACCACAGTGCTGCTGGATTTGAGGTCACCCCAAGGAATGGGGTGTCCTCAGGAAGGGAGATTTCCCCTGTGAGTGAAATGACTTCTAGTAAGGAACTGTCCTCGGGGATCGACTATGATTATGCAGAAGAGTATGATAACGAACCACAAATATCTGGTTATATCATAGATGATTCAGTCAGAGGTGAGTGGAGGATAAGGCAAAAACATAGCCTAGAAGATGTGTGTGTATGTATGAGCAAAGCTCATAAAAGAAAAGCCATTCCCTGGATCTTGGAGTGGTTTTCTTGTGTGCATGTGTGTTGCATATCCCTTGGGGAAGCTTCCACCTGAGATGGAAGGAGCTGTGTGTGGGTACATCTGATATGTCTGGAGCTCTAAAAGTGGTTAATGTCTGTTTAGTCTGCTTTACAAGTAGGAATTGTTAGCATTTTACAAAGATGTTGACTGGAGAAGGTGGTTTTGTCCAAGGTTCCATAGCAAGCTAGCAGTTGAGCGAGAATGAGAATGCCACTGTTTGAGGACACCCTATGCTCTTTCCCACCGGCCACACAGCCTCCATGCTGAGCGGCAGGCATGGAAATCAACCAGCTGCCAACTTCTGTGGCTACTCCCCTCCACTAGGCTTCCCTAAATACCTGCATTTTAACACAAATAAGGGAACAGAACAAAGTAGTGGGGAAGGAGCAATTGGACATTAGCCTTTAAGTCCTGGTGACTTTAAGTCCTGGTGACTCTAAGTAACTGGTGATTCTAAAACACAACAACAATAATAATATAACCTTCTGGAAATATTAAAGAGCAAATATGCATGGATTTCAAATTGCTAAAGTCATGATTTAACCCCAGATTCCATGTGTTAGTTAAATAATAATGACCCACAGTTTTGTTCTCTTTTGCTATTATCTGATCTTTAAAAAAGAACATCCCGCTATGGAGGCAGGACATAATGCCCCTTCTCTCCTGACCTTAGTTTCCCTGACTTCTCCCCCTCTGTCTGCCTCCCAGACCCGGTGAAGGGACAGCAGGTGATACCACAGGGACAGTGCCTGGGTTTAAGCGACAAGTGGGAAAAGCTTTAGGAAACACTCCACTTGACCCCTTGCTCAATAACTTGTGCTTTTATGTGAGGTGGGGAAGAGGTTCCCTTTATACTTCTTTTTGGAGGGGTAAGATTAGAAACTGTTCTCTTAAAGATGTTTCAAGCCATTGACATTTCAAAAGGCCAAATAAACTGTTAGCAGTGAAACTGACTAGTGCCTTGTGAAATACAGGGAAACTGATGGTTGAGCTCCTTTGAAAGGCTGTTGAACCGCTGGGGTTGATGTCTGTTGCAGCACTTCAGCATTGTCTCTGTCTACAATTTGCAACATATCTGATAATGTGCACCATATCTGATAATGTGCTGTAATATTCATTTAAAGTGTTTTCTGTTAGAGGACTTATTCTAACTTGTGCTTATTTATCATCAAAGGTTCAATATAAAAATTGCATAAGCGGTTACACTTCGCTCCTAATTTGACTATTATTGTGTCATAATAACCTGCTAAAATCCTCATAATATTTGTTTGTTGCTTCCTTAATCACAGGGTTCTATCTCTGATACCCTTCCCTATATTTCTAATGTTTTCTGTTTAATGGGACATTATGCAGGACCAGTATGACTAATGGTATTATGACATTATGGCATTTTTCCTCCTTTCACTAGGTTATGTTTGCTATACTTGCTTAGGTAAGCCTGTGCAGGTACTGATACAACAAAACACGCATCTCCAACATGAATGCTCCTCCTTCCCATATTTAGTATGTGGGTAAACTATGCCCTGAATGGCAATAACACTGAATGAATGTTGCTGTAGATCAAAAGAGTTAAGATGAATGAATCTCTGAAGCATATCAAGTACAAATATTTCTGGATTCCTATTTTTTTCAAATAGATTGACCACAGAGATGAGCCCCATATAATTCATAATTAGAATCCGTCATAATCTGGGAGTTGGAGAAAATTGATTAATTCTAATATAATTCTGTTTTTTCCACCCTCAAGTAACACGCAGTAATTCTCCACTATGATAATGGGCACAAGACTGAGATGCATAAATAAAATCATATAAAGCCCGAGGTTAATCAGTAGTTTTGACCTATCCAAGAGAAAACATAGGATGGGGGAATGCCAGGTTTTGATACCTCAGCAATGTCATTCTCTAGCTGCATGTCCCAGGGCACATAACTCGTCCTCATTCAGCTTCAGTTTCCTAATCTATATCACCTGGATAACAATGCATTCAACTGTGATCTGAGTTTAATCAAATTAATGCTCATTACCAAGAACTTGGTTTGTATAAGAAATTCAAGAAGTGTGCAAGGTATTTCCTAGATTTTTTTAGAGACAGGTAAATACTAGTAATAATACTGGTACAAATAAATTCAAAATCTGTTTCTGAACTAATAAAATAATGAGGAGGTTCAGATTTTTAAGTGCCACACCACTCAGATATTCTCTTTAACCAATTATTATGTATGAATTTGGGTTAAATAATGAGAAAAATGATTATCATCTCCATGAGCTCTCACTGCTAGGACTTCTTTCATGTCTCCAAAATGATATGCAAGATGAAGAGAGACTGCTGTCAATAAATCATATTTATTTTTTTTAGTTGAACAGGTAGTTAAGCCCATGAAAAACAAAACAGAAAGTGAAAAAACTTCAGATAAACCCAAAAGAAAGAAAGGAGGCAAAAATGGAAAAAACAGAAAAAACAGAAAGAAGAAAAACCCGTGTGATGCAGAATTTCAAAATTTCTGTATTCATGGCGAATGCAAATATATAGAACACCTGGGAGCAGTAACATGCAAGTAAGTTTTCTAAACTTAAAAAGAAATCTATGTTTATAACGCTAGGTCTGAACCGCCTAGATGCAGAAAACCATTTATTTCTCCAGTGTCAAGGGTCTGTAAGTTTTTTCTTAAAGGACCAGCTGGCAAATAATTTAAGCTTCTCTGGTCCAGATTATGTATGTACTTACAATTAAAATGTAACCATTTAAAAAATGTAATCATTTTAAACCTGGTAACCATCCTTGGCTTTTTTTTTTTTACACACTGTAAAATAAAAGCCTGGCAAATGGCCATATTTGACCTATTGGCTACAGTTTGCTGACCCCTGGTTTTATAATATACAAAGCAAAATAAATAAAAATATACAAAAGGTTTAAAAAACCTTTTAGTACCTAAAGATACTCCTCACATATGTTCTGTCCTCCCTGCCCTCAAAAGCCACTAGCACATTAAATGATAGTGGAATGTATTCTGTGCATAACAAGTCACTGAACTCATCAGTTGGTCATAAAAGGAGCACAAAGAATGAGAAGGTGTGTCTTCCTGGAATATCACACCCAAACTAATCTCAACTTGTTCTTATGCTAATAGATCTTTGGCCTGAATGCATTCTCATTGAAATACGAATCTAATCGATGGCATGCCTTTTTTTTTTTTTTTGAGTGTTATAATTAAGTGCTAAAATATATAGAATGCTTTCAGTTATTAATTTCTGAATGTGGGTTGTTTCCAGATGCCATCAGGATTACTTCGGTGAGCGGTGTGGGGAAAAGTCCATGAAGACCCACAGCACAGTCGACGGTGATTTATCAAAAATCACTTTAGCCGCCATAGCTGCCTTTGTGTCTGCCGTGAGCTTCACAGCCATTGCTGCTGTTATTACAATCCAGTGAGTATGGCATAACTTAAAGATTCCTAATAAAATGATAGCAGCTTGGTTTATTTTCAGTGTGCTATCACAAGGTACTAGATCCTATTTTAGCTGAATTCTTCTACGGGTGACATGGAATCCTTGGTCGTATGTTTACACTTCACTAACAGAGATGACAGAACTAGGTCAAAATTTCTATTACTTGGGCCACCATTGAAACTTCATATGTAAAGTTCTTTTTCAAAAAGCCTAGAAATTTTTTGAACTTAAAAACGGATGGTTGTGTTTCATGTCCTATTGGAACTCATGGCTACTTCCTATTGGTATCCATCCACTATGAATATCTTTAAGCTTCAGGAAGCTTCCCAGAGTCTAATGAAAGCCTGGTTCTGGTTCACAGTAGGTTGTCAGAGATTCTGCGTTGGCACTAAAAATCACAAAAAGCTTCAAACCAGGAGCCAAGCAAAGATACATCTGCCTTTGTTAAAATGCAGAATTTGGAGTTAGAAATGTCATAGCGTGGCTCTGATTTGCATAGAGCTTATGCCTACTTTGTAATTGTCAAAGGTAATATGGGAACTCAATTACTAAAAAAGAAAGAGAAAGAAAGAAGGAAGGAAGGAAGGAAGGAAGGAAGGAAGGAAGGAAGGAAGGAAGGAAGAAAGGAAGGAGAGAAAGAAAGGAAAGAAAGAAAAGAAAGATTTCCTCCACATGGGCGTGGTGTAGGAAGCAGAGACAATTCGGTTACTGTCTACTCCTGCAGTATCTGCCCTGTGCTCATAATAACAGATCATCACACTTCATGACCAATGAATGTTAGAAGTAGACTGTTCCTGGTAGTAGGCACTGGTGGGTATGTCAAAATGGCATTGTCTGTCAGACAGAAGTCACTGAATGAAGGAAGCTGGAGGAGGGCGTGAATGGCTCTATAATGACTCATGTGCTACTAGAGCTTGGGAAAAGCACTAGACTCATTATTCTAATTTTAGGTCTTGGTAAATTACTTTAACAACTGGACTGTGTGCATGATCTACCACTCCTGCCATTCAGAAAACAAGGAGTTATCTTCTGCCATTGTTTACTATTATTTAAGATGCAGATTAGATAATGATAAAAAAGACACATAAAAAACTGTTTTATGATGCACATAGAGTTTGATGTGTGACTTAAATTTGTTTTACACACCCTGGAAATTATTTTGATCTGTTAGCACCTCAAGCCAGTTATGCAAATGTGTTCAGGAAAAATATTCTCAGACAAATCATTATTGTTTGACAGAGAAAGATGGAAGGGAAAAAAATAGCCAGATAGGAAAGATGTTTTGAAATAATTATTTAAACTTGTGGTTGTTTAGGGTGAAATATTTAATACTCCTTTGGAAAAGTATGGAAAAATTTTTGTCATGTTGGCACTCTTAAAAGTAAGCAGTGACTTTTCTCCCATATTCTGGTGTTTGAAACATATATCAAACACTAGCCCAAGCCACAATTTGCCCTTTTTTCAGCATTGAATTTTTTCCCAAACATCATGTCAAAGTTTTTACGATTTTAGTAGGAACAGTTAGTAGATGGATTAAAGACCTACCCAAAAGAGAATTTCTTGTACAATACCAAGACATTTCTAAACAATTGAATTTTAATAGAAAGTAACAATAAATAAATCTAAAAGGAAGTATTTGTTATATTTAGGCATAAAGAAAACCCAACTTGTTTTGTAAGCTTGTTTGAAAAAAATCTAACCATTTCAGTTAATTTGTACACGTGTAAAGTCCTTCCCTGGTAAAACTCTACCATCTTTTTCTTTCTCCATTTGCACATGGTAATTGTGCTAAGTGTTGAGGAAAAAAAGAATGAGACCTTGCCATTTGCAACAACATGAATGGACCTAGAGGGTATAAGGCTAAGTGGAAGTCAGACAAAGAAAGACAAATACCACAGGATTTCACTTATATGTGGAATCTGAAAAACATAACAAATGAACAAACCAACAAAAAGCAGAAATAGACCCATAAATAGAGAGAACAAACTGGCAATGCCAGAGGGGAGGGAATGGGGACATGGGCAAAGTGGGTGAAGGGGAGTGGGAGATACAGGCTTGCAGGTACAGGGTGAACAAGTCATGGGAATGAAGGGCACAGCACAGGGAATATAGCGATGGTATTGTAAAAGTGTTACATGGTGACAGATGGTAGCTACGCTCGTGGGGAGACTAGCATAATGTATAGACTTGTTGAATTGCTAATATTGTGTGTCAGCTATTAAACACACACACACACACACACACACACGAATGTGTTCTCTGCCTTTTGAAAGTTTGTGTCTCAAGGTATATCTGTTTAAATCTCAGTACTCTGGGAATATGTTCATATAAAGTCACCATGAACACCCTCTTGAAAAGAACAGTTGTAAAATATTTTAGAGCTGGGTTTAAGTTTTGGTTTGGTGCATAATACAGCATAACGGTCTAGAGGGACTCACAGAAAGGAATTCCCTGTACTCACAAAAACCCCAGTCAAAATGGAGATGAGTAGAACTTTGATGACCGTAGAATATCTTGTTCTCTGAAGGCTTCGAAAACGATACTTCAGGGAATATGAAGGAGAAGCTGAAGAACGAAAGAAACTTCGACAAGAAAATGGAAATGCACATGCCATAGCATAGCTGAAGGTAATGAATGATAAAGGTTTGGGTTTAAACTTTAGATCATATCCTATGATTTTGAAAAACTACAGCATCTATTATCTCAAGGAAAGTGAGGAAAGTAACTGTCCTCAATTATGGAGACACTTTGAACATTGACCACATGAAAGTCTTGTTTTTGAGCATGAGATGGGTTCACTAGTGAGAAAGGGCTATGTCCTTAGTATCCTAAGAGATGTAAAGACGAGGCAGACACAGATCCTCTTCTCAAAGTTAGTGTTTAATAGATAGAAAATAGTATAAGGAACCAGAATGCTAGGGCCAGTGAGCTGTGTCATACTGAAGGGAACATGGGGAGTGAAGGAGAAAATGGAAAATATAAAGTGTTGACCATGGGGTGTGTGTAGGGAGCAGGGCAGGATGTTGTATGTAGGCATTGGAAGTGAGCCTCAAAAGACTGAAGAGATTGGGATAAGCAATTATGAAGGGAGAAGAAGATTAATACTATGAGATGGACGCGGTCCTAAGAGATGTAAAGATGAGACAGACACAGATCCTCTTCTCAAAGAGATTAATGTTTAGTAGATAGAAAAATGGCCTCGTTCAGATGGGTGTTGGAGAGGAGGTTGGAATGATAGGTTGAACTCACGCGGTGGAGAGCCAAGTCAGCTGCACAACCACAAACATAAGAAAGTGGCAAGAACAGGATGAATATCCTTTTAAAGACAGGAAATTGGAAGGGGGAAGGCGGTACAAATTTGCGAGATATCTTGGTTAAGATATATTATAGTTCTTGTTCATATTTTGTGTGTGTGTGAAGAGGTAGAGTTTAGCACATTGTAGGAAAGGTGAGGAACTATATAGAGAGGAATGTTTTATTCATCACTAAAGTGGACAGCTAAAGAGGAAGAGGAGGCAATGAGATGGAGGATACATTTAAAATTGGTCAGGAGAGGGGCACCCTGGTGGCTTAGTCGGTTAAGCGTCCGACTTTCGCTTGGGTCATGATCTCGCAGTTCGTGGGTTCGAGCCCCGCGTCGGGCTCTGTGCTGACTGCCAGCTCAGAGCCTGGAGCCTGTTTCAGTCTGTGACTCCCTCTCTCTCTGACCCTCCCCTGCTCACGCTGTCTGTCTGTCTGTCTCTCTCTCTCTCTCTCTCCTAGAAATAAATAAAACATTTAAAAATAAATAAATAAATAAATAAAATAAAATTGGTCAGGAGAAGGAACTCCATTTGCTCAGACATTTCCGAAAGATGTCACATCCTTAAATCATCGATACTCTACCTTCATAGGTTTAAGAATCACTTGAGATGCCATTTAAATATGCATATTCCTAAGCCAAACCTTAAATCTCCTGCCATCCAGTAGTTCTCTTTTTAGTGAACACTGCAGCTGCTTGGAGAAACACTAGGCTTGGCATTGGTTGAGCACAAGTATTGTGTTCTGAGCCTATTCCAGAATTAGTATGCTAGCTCAGTAACTCATGAAATAGCTAATTACCCACACCAGTGCTATACTCAGTACTTACTGCAGCGAAATTTATTATTGTATTGATCTTTGGCTAAGACCATCAACATGAATAAAGGTAACTTTTGGTTCTTTAGTGCAACTGAGATCTCTCAAACTAGGTCTGAAATGACTTTTGGAAAAGGAATATGCTTGCCTGGCACATAGGGGCTGCTATTAACTCGTAGCTACTATTATTATGCCCTTGGTACTAATTATCCCAAATTAACTGTATATCGCAAATACACTATGCCACTTAATCTTTTTAATTATGTCACTGCACAGATTTGGTTAGGAAAACGAATTCCCGTGAGTGTTGATTTTTATTAAGCAGAATTTGATGAAACAGCTTTCAGCATATGCAGTCCTCCACCTAAGTAGGCCCGTAACCAAAGGAGGTGTGAAAGTGGAATTCAAGTCCAAGTGATGGTCTGTCTCTGAAAAGCTCTTAGCATTTTTCACAAGACATTCGAAATAGACAGAAATTTTGATCCCTGATTTTTTGGATATTTTCTTAAAGCTCTATTAAAATAGATCTTATCTCTAATATTTTATTTTATTTTTGAACAGGGTATCGGATCGGAGTCACTGCCAAGTCACAACCACAAGTGACGAGTTGGTTCCTCTTTTCAGTGGATTATAAGAAAACAGAACCTTTTCGTTCTGATGGTTTTAAACTTTGAATTGTCGCTTTTTATGCTAAGTCTTATTTCTGTACATAAAGATGCATGGAGATAAAAAGTATTTTTTCAAGTTGTAAATAATTTATTTAATATTTAATGGAAGTGTATTTATTTTACAGCTTATTAAACTTTTTTAAGCAAAGAGATTGAGAGTTTGAATATTAGTTTTGAGATTGCAAGACTGTAGGGTACTTTTCTCCTAACACTTAGTTGATCATTTCGAAAGAAGTTCCTTCTATTTTTTCCTATTTTCATATTATTCTCCAAAGCTTACTTCTTTTCTTAGAAATCACTCTTGGGGAGCCTGGGTGGCTCAGTCATTTAAGCCCCCGGCTTGGGCTCAGGTCATGATCTCGCAGTTTGTGGGTTCGAGCCCTGCATCAGGTTCTGTGCGAACAGCTCAGAGCCTGGAGCCTGTTTCAGATTCTGTCTCCCTCTCTCTCTGCCCCTCCCCCACTCATGCTCTTGTGTGTCTCAAAAATAAACTATTAAAAAAAAAAAGAAATCACTCTTAATGGAAAAACTATAAACTATAGTCATTTAATGCTCCCACAAACACTAATATCCCAAACCAACCTTTCTTATTCCATGTAGAACTTACTCCAACTCCCAGTAATTTAAAAACTTCTAAGATCAATGTGTAGCATTGTCTCTCTGTCACAGCATACACAGATATTAGAAAAGAAAGAAAATCCAATGCCCAATCTGGCAAATAAAATAAGTGGGAAGATTGCAAATGTGGCACTTCAAGAGAATCAGGAAGTATTAAGAGACTTTTTTCTCTAATATCATGACATGAATCTATAAAGCACTAAAACCCATTCCTTTTCCTCCCATTGCTAATTTTTTTAAACATTATCTTAAACTAACACATGTGCTTCTGTGGTGAGTGCTCCTTCAAGAGCATAAATTCCTTCAAATGACCCAGACTTTGGTTATTGGGGCTGGCCAACTAAGTTACCTGCATGCAAGGCAAAACGAGCTAACCTTTATATGTATGGGGAATATTTTGAGGAAATTAGCCAATAAGTATAATTCCAGCAATCATCCCAGAGTTTCATGAATGAAAAGTGCCTAAAGCAGAAATACTTCCATTTCTCTCTAGCATACCATTCTCCAAATCCTTGTCCAGTGATCATCTAACCCACTGGTTCCCAGCCTCAACCTGCACATTATCACATGAGTTTCAGGTGTCTAAATGCCTAGCCCTCTGTCCCAAAGCTTCCAGTTTAAAAGGACTAGTGTGGGTCATTGATAGCCATATTTTTTAAAGTTCTCCAGATGTTTTCTATATGCAGCCTGTGTTGAGAACCTCTGATTCATCTCTGCTTGGACATCTTCAGGCCACATTTTCCTCAACCTCATTCATGAAATGCTTCTTGTGGATGATTCAAGTGTAGTGCTACAGATGCAAGACAGAAAACCCCTGACTTTGAGACATTTGCCACCCAGGTGGTGGGAAGGAATATGTCTTGTCAATATAGTGCAATAAATAATTGGATGAGGTGTGTACTGGGGATCCATGGGAGCTCTCATCTAGCCTGGCCTGAATGAGTCAAGGAGGGCTTTCTAGAGAGTTGCTAGCTGAGATTTTCCTTGAAGGGTGAGTGGGAGTTATGTGGCCATCACTTACAGGCACAAGCAAAACTGCCAGGTCATGAAACAGATCTGAAAGGGAAAATACATAAAATAGTGCAGTATTACTGAAACAGAAAGTGAGAAGGCAACAGAGGCTGTAAAGGAAGCAGTGAGGGCAGGGTCACATAGGACCTTTAAGTATACTGCAGGCCAGAGGAATCATTCAAGCCAGTTGGTCAAGGGTAGAAACTTGATCAGATTTGCATTCCAATTAGGTTATCAGGCAACCAGGTGGGGGAGGGACTTGAGCCCAAGCCAAAGGTCAAAGGACTGGCTTGGGAGCAGTTGAATGAACACCTGAAGCTGAGAAGGTAAAACAGGGAAAGAAAAACCCAACATGTATTTGAAGATTTGTTAACAGATTAAAAAATAGAAAGCAAGGTGATTTATTTTAAAAAGACTATGGAGGGAGGGGCGCTTGAGTGGCTCAGTGGGTTGAGCGTCTGACTCCCGATTTGGCTCCCTTACCCTCCCCCCATCTTCCCCACTCAAGCTCTCTCTCTCTATAAATAGAAAGATAAAATAAAATAAAATAAAATAATAAAATAAAAAGATAAAAAGACTGTGGGTAATGAGATAGCGAGGGAAGAGAAGAAATCTATGATGACCTTCAAGTTCTTGGATTTGGTGGCTAGGTGGATGGTAGGGAATATCTTGAACTAGTTGATTGAATATTCTAGATGGGACACATAGCTTTTTATTTATCCTTGACTGAAGAATGCTCTTCTCTATTTTGTAAAGACTATCGTTTCTAATTTGTAATGGATTTATGGGGAAATAAGGACTAGCCCAGCCAATTAGTTAATTGAATCAACCCTAGGCCTTACTTCACGTCTGAGATTGAACCTATGAATGGGAAAAGTCTGTATGTGTGATAAGGAGTTCGGTTTGGGATCTGTTGGGTTAGAGATTCCAGGAAATATCTACTAAGCAGCTAGATCTACAAATCTGAAGTTCAGTGAGTGGAAGAATTATATATTGGGACCTGTCAAGGTATATATGATAACCAAAGCCACAAAAGTGCCCAAGATTACCAAAGGAGGTTATAATGAGTTCAAAGGAAAAATATTTGTATTAACAAATCTCCCCCAGCTGTCACCACACACTTGTAGAGAAAAGCTAGGCACCTATAGCCATTGTGAAGGTTCTAGGCACTTGCCTGCTATCCCATGTACTTTGCTAGCCCTTAAACAAAATTTTATTAAGCCATTGCAGTGGAGTGGAAAGAAAAAAAACTTACTTTCATAATAAAAATAATAATCTTAAATTTATTGAGTATGTAGTTATCCCACAGATCATTCTGAGTGCTTTACACGTAGTTGCTCATCGAGTCCTCATAATTTCCTTAAAAAGTAAATACATTTTATAGATTAGTAAAGCTGAGGGGCACCTGGCTGTCTCAATCAATGGAGCATGTGACTCTTGATCTCAGGGCTGTGAGTTCAAGCCCCATGTTGGGCTTAGAGATTACTTAAAATAAAATCTTTTAAAAAATTTAAAAAGGGGCACATGGGTGGCACAAGTCACTTAAGCATCTGACTCAGGTCTCAGGACTCATTGACTCAGGTCATGATCTCACGGTTTGTGGGTTTGAGCCCTGTGTTGGGCTCTGTGCTGACAGTTCAGAGCTTGGAGCCTGTTTGGGATTCTGTGTCTCCTTCTCTCTCTGGTCGTCCCCTACTCATTCTCTTTCTTTCACTCTCTCTCTCTCTCTTTGAAAAAGAAATAAAAACATTTTTAAAAAAAAGGCTTGGAGAGATTAAGTAATTTGTCTATGGTTACACAGCTAGTAAATGATAGAGTCAGGCTTATTGGCTCTGGAGCTGACCCATTTAAACTCCCTTTCTCTACCATTTCTCCTAGAGTGAAGGTGTTTATTTTAGGTTTAAAGAATGCTATCTACATACTGATTTATGATGGTTTAAACTACAATTTATAAGAAACCTGGTTTATTTCTTCAAGACTCAGGTGACACGTTTATCTGTGCTACCTTCACCAAACTTTCCAGGCCATACCCTCCCTTGAACTATATAGAATACACACCTTAGAGTTAGCCTACCCAAGGGGTGAGAAAGCTGAAATAGTTATATGTAAATTGTGCCTATAAATTTAAAAATAATTGGTTAAGAGTTACTTCTGGGGTGGGGGAGATTAATTCCCTGGAACTTCTGGCCAGCCTCAGGTGTAGGCAAAATGAATTCCAGTGGTCAAAGGAAGGCCTCAGGTACTGAGATACAGGTGGGCTGTAAGTAAGACTAATGTATTTAGAAACAGAAATGACTTAGGGTTTATAGGCCGGGCTCAGTAAGCATCTGCTAAAATGGCTGGTTTATTGCTGGGACCCCTAGGTGGCTCAGTCTGTCAAGTGTATGACTTCAGCTCAGGTCATGATCTCACTGTTGATGGATTTGAGCCCCACGTTGGGTTCGTGCTGGCAGCTAGGAGCCTGGAGCCTGTTTTGGATTCTGTGCCTCCCTCTCTTTCTGCCCCTCTCCCCGCTCGTGTTTTCTCTCTCAAAAAGAAGTAAGAACATTAAAATTTTTTTTAAATGAATAAAATGGCTGGTTTATTGTGAAACAATTTAGCTCTTATTTCCTGGCTACTTTGTCATTCATTCAATAAATAGTTACAAATAATTATTAAGCTAAACTATGTACCAGGCAAGTATAGACTACTAAAGAGCAACATCTCATTAAGTTCTAAGGAAAAGTATTTGTAAAGTTAAGAACAAAAGAGAAATGGCAAAGTAAAAGATTTAGATGGTGCCAAACTAGATAATAAACCTATCAATAATTGATGATTCACTTTGATAGATCTGACCATTATACGTTATGACCAAAGTAATGATACTGGTTTTCTTCCATGGCTTAGAAATCAATATAATTACTCAACAATACCCCATGCAAATATACCCACATTAATTTCTACTCCTTAAAATTACATGTATACACTATGTTTGTTTAATCATTAGTAAGTGTTTATTGAACATCTACTGTAAGCATAGTGATGCTTTAGACAGTACAGCCCAAACTTCTTTCAAATCTCTCTGGAGAGACCAATTATGTCATAAATTTCTCTGGGTGTGTATGTGTATACATGTTGGTGATGAGGTCATTGGCAGCTTGGGTCATAGAGTCATAATGCAACACAATTAGAAAACTTTAAAAGGAGGGGCGCCCAGGTGGCTTAGTCGCTTAAGCGTCTGACTGAAGCTCAGTTCATGATCTCGCTGTTCAGAGTTCAGCCCTGTGTTGGGCTCTGTGCTGACAGCTCAAAGCCTGGAGACTGTTTCAGATTCTGTGTTTCCCTCTCTCTCTGCCCTTCCCCTGCTCACCCTCTGTCTGTCTTTCTCCCAAAAATAAATAAACTTAAAAAAATTTTTTTAAACTTTGAAAGGATAACAAAAAAACTACTATATGTCCAGACTCTAAAATAATATAAAATCTCTTGAGTTAT